TCCAGCCGCTCCCCCCTTGCTGGATCAGGAGGCCGCAGGGGGCTCAACCAGCTGGAGGATCTGCAGCCGGGTGACTATGAACGGGTCACAGGGGCCCTGCTGCACAAGTCCGGGCTGACCCCCGAGAGGTACAGGAAGAAGTTCCAGGGGGTGCAGAAGGAGCCAAGGGAGACCTGTGTGGATCTGGCCTCCCACCTGGCGCAGTACGGCTGCAAGTGGGTGCTCGGGGTTGGGGCCCAGACCGCAGAGGACCTGGTTAAGCTGATGATGCTGGAGCAGTTCTATGAAGGTGCCAGCCCAGCCTGAGGCTGTGGCTCAAGGACCGGAGGCCAGAGGACCCTCAGGAGGCCGGGAGGCTGGTGGATGAGTTCACGGAGAGCCGGTCCGGGTGTGAACGGGAGTCCCGGAGGGAAAAGGAATCGCACAGAGACCGGTTCATGGCTGAGCAACAGAAGAAATCATCTACAGGGCAAGCCCAAGAGACAGGAGCCAGCCATCCACCCCCCAGAGACACAGCCAGGGCCCGGGTGGAGCCAGCCCGAAGGGGCCGGCAGGTCCTAACTTCCCATCGCTGTGGGCAGAGGCCACAAGAGAGCCCAGTGCCCCAGGCACCAGGACAGGTCCCTCAACCTGGGACTTTCCAGGGTTAACTGGCTGGGGCGGGAGGAAGGGCAGGCTGCCCCAGAGGCAGGGGCTGGCAGACAAACCTCAGCTCAGAGTGGGGGGGAGGATGCTCAGTGCCCCTCCCCTGGGAGCTCCGACCCTCGGGAGGTAGATTTCTCTGTGTACCGGGTGGAGGCAGGGAGGCCCTTGCGGAGCGAGAGCCCCGTGACCCTGCAGGTGGATGGCAGGCCGGCGATGGGTTTCTGGGACACAGGGGCAGAGGTGACGCTGGCCCGGCCTGATATAGTGGCCCCAGACCGTATGGTGCCCAACACTCAGCTGACCCTGAGGAGCATAGATGGGACCCGTTTAAGGTGCCCGTAGCCCGGGTGCATCTGAAATGGGGGGCCAGGGAGGGCCCCAAGGAAGTGGGGCTGCACCAGCACTTGTCCATGGAGGTGCTGATGGGGAGTGACCTAGAGGAGTGGCCAGATGGATCCCACAGGGCCCTGGTCAGCATCCGTAGCCAGAGCCAGCGAGGGGCTGGTGATCCTGACCCAGGGGAGGGCTCCCTGCAGGGGGCTCAAGGCCCCATCCCAACAGACACGGGGCCCAGCAGGGCTAGAGAGCCCCAGACCCAGGCAGGGTGTGTGTGGGGGGGGAAACACATTCCTGTCCCTGCCCTGGCTGTGGAATTCAGAGAATCAGAATTATGGAGCTAGAAGAGACGTCAGCAGGTCATAGAATCCAGCCCCTGCCCAAGGCAGGACCAACCCCAGTTAAATCAACCCAGCCAGGGCTTTGTCAAGCCGAGACTTAAACACCTCTAGGGATGGAGACTCCACTACTTCCCTACGGAACCCATCCCAGTGCTTCACCACCCTCCTAGGGAAATAGTTTTTCCTAATCTCCAACCTAGACCTTCCCCGCTGCAACTTGAGACCATTGCTCCTTGTTCTGCCATCTGTCACTACTGAGAACAGCCTCTCTCCAGCCCCTTAGGAACCTCCCTTCAGGAAGTTGAAGGCTTCTCTCAAATCCCCCCTCGCTCTTCACTTCCGCAGACTAAATAGACCCAAATCCCTCAGCCTCTCATCATAAGTCATATGCTCCAGCCCTCTAATCATTTTGGTTGCCCTCAGCTGGCCCCTCTCCAATGCGCCCACATCCTTTCTGTAGTGGGGGGCCCAGAACTGGACACAATACTCCAGAAGCGGCCTCACCAAAGCCGAATAAAGGGGAATAATCACGTCTCTGGATCTGCTGGCAATGCTCCTCTTAATGCAACCTAATATGCCATTAGCCTTCTTGGCTACAAGGGCGCCCTGGTGACTCATCTCCAGCTTCTCACCCACTGTAACCCCCAGGTCCTTTTCTGCAGAACTGCTACTTAACCAGTCGGTCCCCAGCCTGTGACAATGCTTGGGATTCTTCCGTCCCTAGTGCAGGTGTTGTAGAACAGCTGCTTTTTTAAAAAAGGCAATAAATTACTCAGTTTGAATCTGGTGAGGCCAGATTCATGGATGGTTGATTTCAACATAGCAGAAACCTGAGCATGTCTTCTCCAAAGTTTATATGACATTTTGGGCATGGCTACGGACCACATAGAAGGGGAAACTGGGGTGAGAAGAGATGTCATAGCTATGTGGAAGCCCAATAGATGTAACTCTTAATGACCCTGCTTGCAATAAACATTAAAACAATCTAGTGTAATAAACTATCATAAAAAGAACTCTGGTATTTAACCACTTTGTAATAATTAACATTTTAATACTGTAGCTATTCTTTTAATAGTTGAAAATAATAGTAAAGCTGGAAGAGATGATTGGCTCAGGAGCTTGGTAGTAGATCACAAACCTTTTTAATTCTATATATGTGTCAAGGTTGGAAGTGACTTGAATTATTTATCAGTAGTTTGGCAGGTCTGAAATGAGTTGGTAATCTCAGTATGGCTCTGTGCAATACTTTGAAAAGATAAAGCACTATAAAAGTGCCCAAGGAGCAGTTATTAGTGGATCTAAATACCCCTCACAGCTGGCATTTGTTGGCATTCTGGCAACAATAGATTGGCCGATAGAAAGTGAATTGCCCTTTGTTGCTAATGTGCTTTTCCATGGATAAACAGAAGGCTTTAGTGAGCAATGCTATAAATATAATACCTTTTCATAAATGCCATAGTACTTAACATTCAAAACAAGAGTACTTTTAATTAAATGTGAACATGTGTTTTCTTCCTTGTCCTCTACTAGGCGAGCAGTGGTTGAAGGATCCCTTCCACATCCTTTTGCTTTGACTTTGTTTGGGGACATGTTGTACTGGACTGACTGGAACACTCATTCTATCTTGGCCTGCAACAAGTCCTCTGGGGAGGACCTGCATGAAATACATTCCAACATTTTCTCTCCCATGGATATCCATGTTTTCAGCCAACAGAGGCAGCCAAATGGTAAGAATCCTTGTTTTTTGTTTTTTGTCCTCCTTCTTCCCTAATTGCAGTATGGAACTGATCTGTAGATGTCTTTTTGGGGATAGGAAAAATTGTGAGGGAGCCGGTTGACTCCATTTGCTTTAAGATGCAACAGTTTTCTAAGCAAGGGATTTGAGAAGCTACCCAAAGGGACACTGAATATTCTTTACATTGTTTTTTAACATGAATAAAACATCTCACTCCTGCTCCTCCTCTTGCCTGCCATAGGGATACTGAACAGCATTGCATTTTATGTATTTTTGTAAGGGAGCCATGTGCTGAAGGTTTAAACAATAGGGGACTTTTATTTTTTCCTCTCTTGAGCATTACCTGAAAAGTCTTTTCTTGAATGGAAGCTGTTGTTAATGTGGCTAATGGTGTTAAACAAGCTCAGTTCTGTGCAATAGCCACCATCTTAACCTTTTAGTGACTTTATCTTTCTTGCATGTTGTATTTGTGTACATGCTGCTGCTTGTTTTGGCGGTGAGCAGTTTGTGAGACTGATAAGAGCACAGAGGAAACAAGAATGCTGTGTAGAACCAAATGCCACATTTCCAAGAGAGGAAATATGCAATGTCTGTGAAATTGGGTACAATCATTACCTGCTCTTAATGCTTGGAATTAACTTTTGCTTGTTCTGTGTTTATTATTTCCTCCTTTATCCACTTTCCTACCATTGACTCTTACAACTCAAAAGCCTCATGCCTCCTGACATGCAAGATATGGCCATTTGTTATCAAAGACATTAATCTGTGTTATTTATATTCAACAGCTACAAACCCATGTGGAAGTAATAATGGTGGCTGCTCCCACTTGTGTTTGATGTCTCCTATCCAGCCTTCTTATCGGTGTGCTTGTCCCACTGGTGTGAAACTCCTTGAGAATGGAAAGACCTGCAAAGAAGGTAGGCTTTGTTTCTGAACAGTTATTTTGGAAGAAACTTCATGTAGTTTCTGCAAAAAAGGACTTGTCCATTTCATTTGATGATACATAATGAAGAGGCTTGGGGGTTGGAAGTATTGTGGGAAATAGTATGATGGAATGACTTACACTTTTCCCATACAGATGTAAACTATAGGGAATGTTTCCCCAAGACCTGCATAGGCCTGGAAAACTTCTAATTTCTCTTGGACTTTCTCTTAGGCTTATCTCTCTCCTTTTTTAAAGAGAAAGTATGATTTCATGGCTAAAGAATAGGTAGTGGAGAAAGAAGATTTGGAGTCTAGTCCCACCTCCACCACGGATTGACAGTGTGGCATTGGGCAAGTATTTTGAACCTCGATTGTCTCATCTCTCAAAAAGGTGGTAACAGCTACCTTACATGTTGCTTCTTAGGACAGGTGTAGGCTTGAAGCGCCGGATAGGCACAGCTGCACCACTGTAGCACTTACAGTGAACAGGCTTCTATGCTGGTGAAAGAGCTTCTCCCATCTGTGTAGTTAATCCATCTCCATGAAGATGGCACCTATTCTGACAGGAGAAGTTCTCCCACCAACATAGCCCTTGTACACATAAAGTTATGTTGGCATAACTCTCTTGTTCAGGAGCATAGATTTTTCACACTACTGAGCAACATAAATACACCAATATGTCTGTGGTTTATGCCTGGCCTCTATGAATTAATATCTATATAACACTTCTGGTATTATTGTACGTTAACTATTTACACCCCTTCTTGGATAGTGAGATCCATATAATGCTGCTACTTATCCTTTCCCATGCATACCTAATGTCATTGATTGAAACTTTCAAACTTGTATGCCTGAAGTTTAGGTACTAAACTAAAAGTGGCATTACTTCTAGAAGTGTTGAGCCCCCAGAAGTCTAGCTAACTTGTTTGGGAATTGTTGCTGCTAAACACCCCTTCCTGAAAATTCTGTTTACTAAATATAGATTCAGGTGCCTAACTTTAGGTACTCAAGTTTGAAAATCTAAATAATTTTTAACATTGGATTGGATTGCTATAATAATGCTGATGTCAAACAAATGAAGACTAAGTATTGGGATCAAATTAACTTTTGTAAAACACGGCCTTTTTAAATTCAGACTCTCTCCTCACTGCTGAAAAGGTGGTGGTGGTGGTGGTGGTGACATAATATAAAATACATTAATAAATAACATTTTCAAATTATTCTATTTAAATGAATTCTACCTATATTATTTTAACACACTTTTATATTTCAATTTAAAACATTTTCTAGGACTTGTCAGATGCTCGTCAGTGCTGCTTCTTATCTCACCCTACTGCACTCCTTCTGATTGTTTTAACATAGGTAGATCTGTCCGTGAGAACTCTATTAAAATAAATTGCCTCTTGTACACAGAAGAGCAAAAAAAGCATAAAGATTATAAAGCAGCCTTGCAAAAATTGTCATGAGGAATCACCAGCCGATGTACAAAATATACTTTCCCACCCATGCTATAGAGAACAAGCTAATGATGTTTTTATTGCCTGTCAAAATAAATTGAGGCAAGTGGATGAAGAGAATTTATTTTCATAAATAAAAATCTCATATAAAGACTTAAACTCTGATATCTGATTTTGGTATTCACAGCCATAAATTTATCAGCTTATTTTTTTGCCTGGTTCATAATGAGTCAATTTTCTCTTCATGAGAACATGAGACCCTAAACTGTAAATGTGCTCTTGTTCAGATGGCCAGTATAAACACAGAAGAGCTCTATATATATCAGTGGTTTTATTTACAAAGAAAATTACCAGTAATACGTAGAGTATGTGCAGCAGACACTATTGGATTATCATGTTGATATCAAGTTGGGTTCCCCTCTACATTACCCCCTGCACCCCAGTTCTCTGCCTGTGGCACACAACCGTTTAGCCTCCTGAGGTCTGTAATGCTTTGTTCTAATTCTGGTTTTTGTTTTGGTGCAGTGGTGGGTGGGTAGTATTTAGTGGCCTCTGATATACAAGTAATGCCTCTGATATTCTTAAACTCTATGGCTGTGTCTAGACTACATGGCTCTATCGACGGAGCCATGTAGATGAGGGTTGTAGGCAAAGGGAAATGAAGCGGCGATTTAAATAATCACTGCTTCATTTAAATTTACATGGCTGCCGCTGTGTCTAGACTACATGGCTCTATCGACGGAGCCATGTAGATGAGGGTTGTAGGCAAAGGGAAATGAAGCGGCGATTTAAATAATCACTGCTTCATTTAAATTTACATGGCTGCCGCACTGAGCAGACAAACAGCTGATCAGCTGTTTGTCGGCTCAGCACGATAGTCTGGACACGCGGG